AGGCAGGGATAGAGCTACATGGGGACCGGGAGGTCCGTTGCCCCCCGAACACATCCGTTACAAAATGATAATACTAATAATAATAAAAATAAATATTTTATTTTTTATATAAAATATATTTATTTTTTCATTTAAAAAATTTGTATTTTTTAATTAAATATATATTACTTTTTGTAAATTTTTTATTATAAAATCATATTTATTAATTTAATAAAATTTTAAATAAAAAAAGTTTATTTATTTATTTTCATAAATAAAGTATTTAGTAAAAATAATAATTTGTAAATTTTTGTTTCTTTCAAAAATCTTTAGCTAATTTATAATTTTTTTTTTGTAATGCCAACAATATTGGCAGCAGTAATGTTTTTCCTTTTATTTTATTTTATTTACATTTTAGTTTATGTTTGTTTTTAAATTGTATTTTTTTTCCCATTTTATTTACTTTTTTATTAATTTTGTTTTTATTATATATAAAATAATTCATTTTTATATATTTATATTTTAATTTTGTAATTAATGTTTATATTAAGTTATATATTTGATGATTTATTAATGTTTATTGATATTTATAGTTAATTAATTATAATAAAATTATTATAAATTATTTATATTAAACTCAAATTATTATAATATATATAAATTAAAAATAATGAAAAAATGACACTAGTTATAGAAAATGTATAACATTTAAATAGGGAATAAACTTAGGAATACAATAAAAAAAAATTAAATATAGAATGTAATTGCCTATATTATTTGGATTCTCATTCTTATTTGCTAAAATCCAATGAAGAATCTTCACGTGAATTTCCAATCCCTTTGCGTATTATACCTTAATAAGTATAAGTAGCATAATCAATAATCCTACTCAATCAATTGACATAATGTTATTCTCTTTTAGCTTTTGTCAGTTCTATTTTGTGTTGTTCAAACATAAAATATTATTTTTATGTAAAAAAAAATGTTTTTTTTATCATTTTTCGGAGTTCAACATTGTGCTTAACTAACTTAGCAAAATCAACAACACACACTTCATTATTTTTTTCTTTTGAACTTTGATTTTTTCACACCTACTAGTCGTTTGTGAGAAGAGTCACCAAAGTTATCATTCAAACAAAACAATTCACCATCTATATTTCCATCAGGTAAATTGATAGTAAATGCCGAAAGCCAAGGAGATTCAAATGTAGCATTCTTCTATGACGATGACAGTTGACCAGGGAAATTTTTTCGAGAATTTTTATGTAAATATCTTGGTTCGTTATGGTCTTTAAATGGATGTTGGATTTAATACAACGCTAATAAATGATGTAGTTAATGGTTGGAAGTTGGCTGTTGGATGTTGGATTAAATGCAATGTTAATAAATTGATATAGTTGATGGTTCGAAGTTGGATGTTGGATTAAATGCAACGTTAATTAATTCAAATAGTTGATAGTTGATTAAAATATTACATTACCTATAAATTGATAGGTTGTGATACCCCAGAGTTGAGTCATTGTTTGGCCAACTCCCGTGTATAGATAAGCCGGTATTAAGTCATCTAAAGTTTATTAGAGGTTAAATAGATTGAATAAATTATTTATGTCAACAATATGCACATTCGTTTTTTAGAGCCATACTGAAAGAACTATAGATTTAAGCGTCTTTGCCCTGCAGTAATTTGAGAATGGGTTACCCCATAGAAAGTCTTCCACGATGCGTGTAAGTGAGGACAAAAGCGCACTGAAAGAATTCGTGTTGACCTGTGAGGCCAATCGGATATCCCGACACGCTCGACTTTGTGTGGTTTGCGGTTCGGGGTATCACAGTTGGTATCAGAGCCGACCTGCGACAGCCCATAGTCGTTGATCGGACTGTTGAGGGGCTTAGCAGTTGACGATCCTTATGATGTAACGTGGACGTTGCATTTTAAAGTGGGGGAGGATATGATACCCAAAAGTTGGCCCGTTACTTGGCCAACTTCCTTGTGTGGATGAGCCGGTATTAGGTCATCCAAAGTTGATTAAAAGTTAAAATGGATTGAATAAACTACTCATGTCAACAATGTTTACATTCTTTTTGGAGCTCTACTGAAAAAACACTAGAGTTAAGTGTGCATTTCCTAGAGTAAATTGAGGATGAGTGACCACCTGGAAAGTCTTCTAGAGTGCACGTGAGTGAGGACATAAGCGCGCTGGAAAGACTAGATAACTTTGCTCATGTTAAATCAGATTTACAAGTTTTGAATGCTTAAGGATCAATTGCTTATATTTGATACTCATTTTATTCACAATCATGGCACTGATCTTATGCAGAATTGACTGCATTGAACGTGTTAACTCTTTATTCATACGATTGAGTTTGTTTAAGGACGAACAAAAGTTTAGTGTGAGAAGGTTTAATAACTCTAAATAATAGTATATTTTTTGCTTGGCAAAACTGTGTATTACTTGAATTTTTATGTGAAAACCATCACAATATCTGATTTGTGGCATATTTTATTGTTTTCTTTCGTTTGGTATGATCCAGAGTCTATTTGTTGAGATTATTGACATTTTCAGCCTTTTTAAGCGATAATTCTGGCCCAGAAAAGCTAAGTATTGAAATTCAACTGAAGGCGCTTCCGGCTAGGTAAGCAATGCTTTTACCGCTTGAACCAGTGCCAGCGACCAGACATCCGCCGCTGAGGGAGCTAGAGTGGATCATCCAAATTTGACTAATTGTTCATCTCCCAGCAATCAAACCATTCCAATACCAGTAAGCAGTGATAGTATCGCTTGAGTTGCGCCGATGCCCTTAAGCCAAGGAAGGCAAGCAAGGAAGATCTGTGCCCCTACATTCTGAGGCAAGCGAGGAGACTACCTGGGAGTTAGGGCCAGTGTAACTGCTCCAACAGTTAATTTTTTGATAACTGCCTAACTCCTCAGCAGTTTCAACTGCCGCTCAACTGCTTCTCAATTACCGATTTTGAAGATCTATAAAATAGGGTCAGATTCCATTTGTAAATTACACTACACACAAGTGTTCATATTTTCTGCAGATTTTTAGTGTTTTCCAAGAGCTCCAACTCTTTAAGGGAGTTCTCTAGTTAAGAATGACCAGAGGAGTCAAGATCCTCTCCTCCTCTGGTCGCTCACTTTACAGCTTTCTTGAATAGTTTACATCTTTGAGTTAAAGTTTTGTACTACTTTCGTAATGTAGATCTTTAATCTTTTATTAGTTTAATGAAATATCATGATTTCTTCGTATTCACCCTCATCCCCTGTTCATATTCATGTTTGGGAGGAAATTCCAGAATTATGTTTACTATAAAAGAACATAAAAAAATTGACTAGTTAAACCTAGACTCGTGTCATGTTCATTAACAAAATTTAGGCAGTTCAATGTAGTTAAGTACGCAGGAGCCTTGTCGACCTGCTTAACTGTTGTTCCGAATTCGATTCTGACAAAAGAGAGGTCACAGAAGAGTAAAGCCACAAATGAGACAGTTTAGAATAATTAATAGGCATAGACGGTTGTCTATTAGACCATAGGAATTTAGTGACAATAGCATTTCTTACTTATAATGTTCTAATTATGGACGTCATTGAAGTCTTGTTGTAAATCTCTTAAGGTCAAATAGCAGCGATTCAAGATTCTGTGTTAACTGTCAAGCATGATTACATTCATTTACTTCTACCATTGTGTATTATAAATCTATATTTCATTTATTCACTGACATCACTCGCTCATTTTCTCCATAAAAATTTAGCCATTAAGGAACGCACATATCACACACAACCTTACTTGATCATCCTTACCGCTCACTCATCACTATCAACATCACTCATCAAACCACTCACCATCACTCTTATATCTATAGTCTACTCACTGTCCACCCGCTCGCTTTCGCTCACCAACACTCTCTGTTGAACCCATCGCTCGGGCACCATCGCCATCTACCATTTTCATCCCGCTCATTTTGTTGCATTCTTTTATATTATGTCATTTACTGTTTTTTTGCTCGCTTGCAAGCGAGCACTATATTTCTCGCTTTTCTAATTGCGCGTAATTTTGTAGAAAATTTAATTTTATGACTTAAAATCTCTATGTTCGACCTGAAAACTTACCAGTAAAAAAAGTATAAATAATTGTGATAATGCTTCAGAGTCTACAACTTCAATTCCTTCAATTATATTTGACCATGTTCAATAACTCATATTTCATTTGATTAATTCATTCAAAAGTCCCTGTAAAATCAATATTTTCCCATGTTATAACCTAATTTCCACTTATCACATGGCTTGCGGGGTGGGGTGTCACATAGGTAAACATGCAAAAGATTCAAAGAGAACTTGAATTTCTTTTACTCATTTATAAATCATATCATTTTAGGAGAAATATGAATTTTAGCGTTGGTGGTGTTTCATTTCAAAATTCATCTGCAACGATTTTCACTCATGCATTCAATTGGAGTCCTTGATACGTAGCAATGATCTTTTCCGACGATGTTTTGACATGCCACGACCAATCCACGATGGTTCCATTTTAGGTCATTGGGTTGTCAATTTTGATCACGAGGAATCAAATTAAAGATTATTTAACGATTATTTTTCTTCTAACACATTGTATAATGAGTCAAAATTTCAAAGACATTTTCAAATGTTTCAAAATGTGCTTATTCAGATTCTTTGATGCAGTGAAAGATCGTGATCCGTATTTCATGAAACAACGGTGTGGTTTTAGGAGATTTGGATTGTCTCCTTTCCAAAAAAAAAACAACAGTATCACAATATTGTGTTACTCACGGAAATATTTTTGTGAGTAATATTGGTGGAATTATGGACGAAATTTAATTTTGTCCAGAATATTTACAGAATTAATTACATCAGTAATTTACTCACGGAATATAATTTTGTCCCTAATTTTGTAAGTATTTTAGACGGAATTAATTACGGAATTTATTTCTGTGAGTAACTCTTGATTAATCTCCAAATTTATATCCCTAATTCTAATTGGCTCCCCACTCTCACATCACTCCGTAAACCATTCCACCACACACTCAGCGATGGATGTTCGGTGAGGCGACCACAACTGTCGCGACGAGGGCAGCGGCAGCTGCGCATGCGGACGGCAGCGGCGGAGGTGAGAAGTGACAGCGGTTAGAGGTGCTTTTTTTTTTCATTTTCTTGCCTTTATGGTTGCCAGCAGTGGGGAAGCCGAAGCCGTAACTGGTGCCCTATGTATTCGGATTTTTTAGTGCACTTTGTAGCTGATTTCGGGGGAAAAGAGTAATTACGATGCGAAGAAGACGACCATGGCCGTCGAGGTCGTCGTTCCCCTCAAATCAAATCAAACAACAGACTGATCATGTAGAAGAAACACAATGTTGATGACGATGATGAAGAATTGAAGAATAAAATGCGTAATGCGATCGATGCAAAAATGATGGTGAGTGTGGGCGCCATTAAAATTTTTACCAATTAAGGTAAAGCTGGCTCTATGGCTATTGCCCGTTCTTTAATTTGCTTTTTAATCTTTCATTCCCATCCTATAAACAAGCTTGCATCATATTCTTCATTTTATTTGTTATGAACACATTCGATTTTTATTAAAATAAGGTTATGACCATTCTGTTTTTTGTATTATTATTATTATTATTATTATTATTATTATTGTAGTTGTTTCAAAGATGGGCATATTACACTGCTCATCTTCATCTAACATAGGAGTGGCCAAGAGTTCCTCTACAGTACTTGTGGTTTTCAATTAAATATTCTGTTTTTTCTATTAATATTTTTATTATTAGCAACTGTGCCATATCACTGCTATTAGGCTAACATGTTACGTTACGTATGAAATTTATAATTAGGTTAAAAAGCCCAAGCTAGAAGGAAATATGGGCCTATAATCGGGTCTGTTGGACTGATCAAGGGGTGTTTCCAAAAAATCGGGTGAAAAAAGATGTATTTCTGAAGAAATTACAGGTCGGAAGGGCCGCAGGTCGGAAGGTCCGCTGGTCGGAAGGTCCGCAGATCGGAAGGTCCGCTGGTCGGAAAGTCCTCAGGACGGAAGGTCTGCAGGTCGAAAGGTCCGCAGGTCGGAAGGTCCGTTGGTCGGAAAGTCCTCAGGTCGGAAGGTCCGCAGGTCGGAAGGTCCGCTTGTCGGAAAGTCTGCAAGTCGGACAATCTATAAGTCGGATGGTCTGTAGGTCGGTTGGTCTGTGGGTCGGATGGCTTGCAAGTCGGAAGGTTTGCGGCTGGATCAACAAGTCGAGTGGTCTGCAAGTCGGGAGGTTTGCGGCTGAACCAATAAGTCGAAAGGTCTGCGGTTGGTCCAAAAAGTCGGAAGGTCTGCGGTTGGATAGGCGAGTCGGTTGTTGTGGAGGTCGGATACTGTTGAGAGCGAGTGAAAGTAATAGTGTGGTCGACTGAGGGCACGTGTCAGCGGAAGAAGAGTTAGCAGACGGTTGAAAAAGAGGCGTTGTAACCGTTCGGGCGACGGTTTCTAGTACCGTTTCTGAAGAGTATTTAAGGATTGGGATTTGCAACTGACAGTGTATCTTCAATCATCTTCAATCGACAACAAGGTCAGTAATTCGGGGATCATCCTTTAAATTTTTAGTCTTTTATTTTTCAGTTTATTTTCTGTATAGAGATTCCTAATATCAGACGCTAAATATATCAAACGAAGATAATTTCTTATTTTCGGATTTTATTTTTTTATTGTTGAAAAAATACATCAACAAATTAGCGAACACAATGGGAGTAAGGCAAAATTGCTGATCCTACATCACTGCTATTAGGCTAACATGTTATGAGTGTTAATTCTTGGCTACAATTCTGTGGATAGTTGGGTATTAAGCCAAAATAGATGACGAGATGTTGTTTTGATCGATCCGAGGAGTCTGTATTATGCTTCAATTACTTTGAGGGAAAGTATTAAGTTGTGTTTGTGTTGTATATAACTGTGTATACATATAGTATTCGATATCATGATGATTATTTTAGTTGTATATAATGACGTGTAGTGTGAATATTAACAGTTAGGGTTTAAAATATATATTTTAAACTGAGCATGTATACGTGTGTTCTTTTGTAAATTTTACCACTGATTTTTATTGTTTAGATTCTTTTTTTTTTCTAAAAAAATATCACATTAAACAATTTTTTTTATGACGTGGGAACCCGCAGCTGCTACCCAAAAATGCGCACTGGGTAAACTCCCGTCCGAACCTAATACCCTGCAAATCAAGCCCGACGGAAAAAGTGCGCACTGGGTAAACTCCCGGCCGAACCTAATACCCTGCAAACTAGGCCCGACGGGAAAAGTGCGCACTGTGTAAACTCCCGGCCGAACCTAATACCCTGCAAATCAAGCCCGACGAAAAAGACACATTAGGCGAACCATGTGTGGCATTGTTTCCGTCAGGGAATTAGACAGCGCTACCGGGAATGAAGTCTTCTAGAAAATTGCTAAATATATAAATTAACAAATTAAATTATTTTTAAATTGCAATTAACATTAAATAATTTTTCATTGTTCTGTTATATTGATTTGTTGTGTTTTGAAATAGTATAAAGAATGACCTTTTGAGTAATTAATTACGGTAAGTATTTTTATCCATGTCGATAAATATATCATTTCAACTTAATTTACTTATATATCTCTCGAAGCAGCTAAATGATATGTGGTAGTGACAAGGACAATTTTTTCTATTTAATGTTATGTTGTTAGACGAAATTTTAACTCTGTAGTGTTGTCCGATGGAATTTTAAGTCTACAATATTGTTTAATGGAATTTTTACTATGCAATATTATTGGACGAAATTTTAACTCTCTAGGGCTATCGGATGGAATTTTCAACTCTACAATGTTGTTGGAGGAATTTTTTCCTTTGCGAAGAGTATGAAATAATATTGTTTTGGTAGGTATACTTATTTAAGAGGCTAATAAGTAAAGACAAAACAACTTTTGAAAGATATATCACATTTTAGAATATACTTTACTACTCACCCTCAGGAGGCTGTTTCTGGGCCGAGGCGAGACGAGAGGGCGATCGCCCAAGGCCCAATCTAAATTGAGGGTCCATTATTTATTTATTTATATATAACAATTATTTATATATAAAAATTATTTTACATTAATGTATTAATAGAAGAGTATGATTTGGTGGTTAAGTTTTATTTATATTAATTTTGAGGTTTTGGGTTCAAATCCAAATACCTTTAAATTTTAAAAATATTTTTTTATGTATTAAAAAGAATTAGACAAAATTAATACTTAATATTAATAGTATTATATTAGAAAATTTATTTTATTTAATTATTTATATTTTATTATAGATTAAAAATATATATATTATTTATACATATTTGTGGCCCCTAATTTTTGTTTTAAAATTGTTAATATTAATATTACTATTGATATTTTATCTAAAAATTCTAAAAAAAATTATTTTATTTAATAATTTATATTCTATTATATGTACAAGAAAATCGGAGTAGATCATTTATATATATTTAGGAGTCTTTTTTTTAATTTTTTTTTTGCACTAAAAAGATCATAAATATTAGTCAAAATAATAATTATTATTATTAGGCAAAATTATCAATAACTCCTTTATGATTTCGAAAGTCAGTGTAAATCATCTGCATACTTTAAAAATGACATGAACCCCCTTATACTTTAAAAAATGTTTCATTAGACTTATTTTTATATTTTTTTGTGATGAGAAGATGACCTTTCGTTTATATTTTTTGCATGGCGGGGGTTCCACATAGTGTATGTTAAAATATAAGGGACCGGTACGCAATTTTAAAAATTTATGCTAGAAAAAATATATTTTTTTATTTATATTTTATTATAGGTAAAAAATATTATATATATTTAAGGGCCCCTAATTTTTATTTCGCCCGAGCCCTTCGAAGGTCAGGAACGACCCTGCTCACCCTTGAAGCATTTGAAAATTTTTAAACTAAAACTCTCGAAAATAGGAGTTTTCGGGCCTAAGACTGCACAGTCTACATCAGGGAGGCATGATGCCGACCTCGCGCATACAGGTGGGTCTTGATCATTCATGAAAACTTCACTGAAAATGATAAGTTTGTATTTTATAGTTTAATTGCAAACTTCTTTAAACTACTGTATTTAAAGACGAGTGTAGGTATAGGGCACATATAAGTGGGCATATACGAGACACCCCTAAACCCTGTTAAATACTATTTATTTAATAAAAACTATATATATAATATATATTTTGTTTACAATTTCTAGGAAAGCATGGATGTCATAGATTAAGGGATGTCTCAATTTGATGATACACAGTATAGCTGTGATGATGCTTACTTTCCTTGGTACATCGAAATAAGAAAAAGATTATATTTGGGCTTGGGTCGCTGGCATTGACGGTGCCACCGGAACGCAACTCAGTCACCAGAGATGCTCGTGCTCCTGGTGCTACAACGACTAACGAGAGTCGGCTAGCGTGGTTGGAGGGCAGTTTGATTGTTTCGAGAGTTACGCTGATAATCATGCAGCAGCTCAAGAGGATGAATGCCCAACAGGACCGTAGCGACCCCGATGGTGATTTGGTGCGCCACATGTTTGTTGATTTTGGTACTAAGTATTTAACTGTTAGATGATATAAATGACCGTCTCAACTAGAAGCTTAATATGTTAGGATACGACATCATTTAATTATTTATCTACAAACGGGGGTCAACCAAGACGCCCTTTTACGGGCAAGGCGGATAAATGCAACCAAACAAAACTTGCCCGTGTAAAACAACAAATGGGGGACGTTAAGACTCGAACTCGAGACCTAAGGCTCTGATTTTAGTTTCTGGTTTTAATTCTGTTTTGAGCCCTAATTTTGTTTATGATTGAAGTCATGTCTGCGTATGTCTACAATTTGTCTACCACGTTTCTCCAGAGCTATGTTTCTGACTTCATTGAGAGTCCCGTTATTTCCGACTCTATCAAGAGTTATATTGCTTCCAACTCCGTCGAGAGTCTCGTTGTTTCCAACTCTAATTTAGTTGACAACACTGCTTCTGATTGCACTGTGGACGATTATGGTTGCATTATCTTCAATCTCTCTTTACAAACTCAAATTGTTTTGCCAAACTACTTGAGTTTGAGAGAAGATGTTGAGATATTTTAATTATTTAGTTTTATATTGGATTTAGTTGTTTTATATTTGGTTTGATCCATTAGGTTTAAATCTATCGAGTCTGTCTATTATGCCTATTTATAGGCCTCTATTTTTGTTATGTATAATCAGATCCCAAAGTGTATAACTTTTATGCTCTACCCCATAATCAAGAAGAAAACATAAACACGCACAAAGTTCCAATTTAGAATGTTCATGCGAAGGGATAAGGACAAAACCTGCACAACCGAAAAGACGAAGGGTACTATAATCGGGCGGCTGACCATTAGACGCTCGAAAGGGGTGTTATTATGGAGGACAGATAATAGAATATGATTTATGGTATAGACAGTAGTGAGGGCAACTCCTCCCCCCCCCCAAGAACCTATTAGGACAAGAGGCAGACAAAAGGGATGCACGAACATTATCTAGAATGTGACGATTTTTGCGCTCAGTGCGATCGTTCTGTTGAGAGGTGTATGAACAGAAACTCTGAATCAATGTAACTTGAGCAAAGAGAAAACTTAATAAGGTAGAATTTCTATACTCAAGACCACTATCAGTAAGGGGGGTCTGTATGAAACAGGAAAATTGAGTTTTAATCTTTTGAGCAAGTTGAATGTATATTTGAGGTAATTATAAACGGTTTTTCAAAAAAGATATCTATATAAAACGGGAATAATCATCTATGAAAATGACATAATAACGACACCCACTCATAGAGAGAACAAGGAAATGACCTCAAATGTCATAATGAACCAAGAAAAATGGTTTACTGGCAACTGACATATTTTCTGAAAAAGATAAGGTTGGTTGTTTTCTCAAATGACAGTGTAAGAAATCAAATTACTCAAAGTGAGTAGAGCTCAGACCCTTACTAACGAGAGACTGAATTTTAGGGAAAAATGCACGACCAAGACGAATGTGCCATTAGAGACTAGGGGAAGGAATGGTAGTAAGAGTGGTGTGAGCAGTAGCAACAGAGAAAGTACAAAGAAGAATTTTTAAAGATTGTACCTCAAATAGTTGACCAACTTTTCGAGTTGTCCTAAAAAGTTAACCCGTACATGGATCCTGAACGTGCACACCAGAAGAAGAAGAAGTAACAGTAAGTCCCTACTCAACTAGTTGGCCAACTTATACAAAATTTAAAGTCAATTGAGGAATGCAGTAAGTATCAGGAAGTTATATAAATGGTAGAAATACAGATCCTGAATGAGTGATATCAATGCGACTCCCATTAGCAGTCTGTATAGGCAGTGAAGATGACACATGATGCGCATTTTTCAAGAGACCAAGTTTAGGTGTCATATAATGGCAGCAACCGGAATCAAAATATCACTAATTGTCCATGACAGAAGAGGAATTGGAAGCAAGAAATCGATGCGAGAGAATAACAATATTCTCGACTGACAAATTCATATCAGTAACAGATGCAAATAAAATTAACTCCGATGATAAAACCAACCACACCACGATGTAGGGAACCAAAACAGGCGGCGGCGACTGGAGGACGAGTGATGGGCCGCCATACGGAGCTAGAAAACAGTGGCGTCGGAATGGCCGATGCCACTGATTTGCATCAGCGGCACGTGTAAGCTGGACGCGCTGCCGTTGGTGGAGATTTTCGGTAGGCTGGGTTGCCGGACGATGGTGGTTCTGATGGTGTAGGCGGTGTCGACCGGAACGCAGCGGGGGAGGGCAAACAGCGGAAGCGTTGGCGGCTAGGGTTTTGAATTTGTAAAATTAGGCTCTCTTCTTGATGATCCTACCATATATCGTCAGTTTGTTGGGAGCTTCATCTATTTGACTGTCACTCAACCAGATATCGTTCATGTAGTCTCTTTTATGAGTCAGTTCATAGCCGCTCCGAAGACCTCTTACCACTATGCCGTCTTACATATTCTTCGTTATGTGAAAGGTACTCTTCTACATGGTTTACACTTTTCCTCTCACTCGTCATTGACTTTTAGAGGTTACTTTGATGCTGATTGGACTGGTGATCTTACCGATCATTGTTCGACCACTGGTTTATGCTTCTTCTTGGGTGATTCTCCCATCTCTTGGCGCAGTAAGAAGCAGACTTTAGTTTCTCAATCGAGTGTCTAGTCCAAGTATCGTGCTTTTGCTGACTCTACGTCAGAACTTTTATGGCTTTGTCGATTACTCACTAATATTAGTGTTCCTCAGCCATCTTCTACGGATCTTCACTGCAATAGTCAGAGTGTTATGAAGATGGCCCACAATGATACCTTCCACAAGCGCACCAAGCATATGGAGTTTGATTGTCACTTTATTTGATAGTATGTCACCGGTGGGGTTGTCAATCTCGTTTTGGTCTTCTCCGTAAATCAAACTGTGACACCCCGGTTCGCAATCCATGGAAAGCCGAGCATGTCGAGATTGTAGA